GATATGGTAATCGCTGGTGAAAGATTAGAGAGTGGAATCAAGTCTGGTAAGATTCCGAATGGTGGTGGATCCTCGTCGGGAGGAACAAAGAAGTTGTATTCTACAAACCCTAAGAGAAGGGATGGGGACGCAAATGTTGTTTCCCACAAGGGTAAAGGTAGAGCTCAGTCCTGTTATCCTTAATAAGTCACTACAGTAGATATCCCGGTTGCAGCTCATCAGCAAGCCAATGTTCAACGACCTTATGCTGCCAAGCACAGAACGGCTAATAGGCAGTTTGTGAATCCTCCGATACCGTATTCTCAATTGTGATGTGTGAGGCAGAAGAGGTGAAGGAAAAACACTTAAACCACAAGATTGTATATGCACACCTTGACCATTTCCCATGAAGATCTGGTCAGGATCTTCAAAAGGAGTCATCTACTGCAGATTTCTGGCTTCATTAGTGACATGAAATGAAGCACCAGAATTAGGAAACCATGAGCCTGAGGTAGATGGTGTTGAGTTGGCAACCAAAGCACTAAGAGCATGAGATAAGGCTTAGGGACTTCTTGGCTGTGGAGGAGATATAATTCAAACATTTTGAGAAGTGCCAAGGTATCCATAGGGTGAAGCCAGTCATTATTGAGGGTTATAGGAATTAGATGCTGCAGGAGGAATTTGATAGTTCTGATGAAACCTGTACCAACAGTTGAGAGCAATGTGGCCATGCTTGGAGCACACTTGGAATTCAATGTGAGAATTAGGATTTTTTTCCTCTGCCTTTACCAAACCTACCACCACGTGAGCCTCTTGAACCACGAAATTTACTGAAATCCTATTCAAGAGCTTGTGTAGGAACTGGAGCTGGTGTAGAATCAACACTAGCTGTTTGAGTTTCATCATTAGGTTTTGTACCGGCTGGAGTTTGAGCCAAATTAAGAGAAATAAGATCTGAAGTGGTGGATTTCTTGAATTTGTTAAGACGGAGTTCATGAGCTAAAAGAATAATTTCTACTTCATCTAAGTCCATTGGACTAAACTTACTCTCAACAACAGACACAACAAGAGCAAATTTTGATGAAAGACCTTCAAGAATGACATCTATATGATGTGAGGCAGGGATAGGATCACTAATAGAGGAAAGTGCATCCACAATGGTACGTACCTTGAGTAGAAACTCTTAAAATGTGGAAGTATCAAGAGTTAGGGCACGCAGTTCCACACGTAACTGCCTTGCACGTGCGCGAGTTTGTTTCTGGAAATAATTGAATAAACGATCCCAAAGTTGATGAGAATGAGAACAGTCAAGCACGCATGAAAGAATTTCATTGGACAGTGTGAATTGCAACTATGAAAGCAACATTTGATCTTTCTGCAGCCAACGAGAGTACTCGGGATTGATAATTCCAGCTTCGCGAGCATCATCATCTACAAACTGCAATGGAATCTTTATGGAAACAACGAACTATGTGAGGTTATGCGCATTGATGCACGTCTCGATTTGCTGACGCCATAGATAAAAGTTATTTTCATCCAATTTCTACGAAATCTTGAGCGAAAACTGGAGGCGGTGAAGATCTGCCACAGAGTCGGCGAGCGGTGAAGAAACCAGTGGATCTTGCGCAGAGGAGGCCGACGTTCCCTCCGGTGAAGGAGTCGCAGCCACGAGAAGGTTCTAGATCTAAGAAAAGTTTAATCTAATACCATATCAGAGAGAGAGAGAGAGAGAGAGAGAGAGAGAGAGAGAGAGAGAGAGAGAGAGAGAGAGAGAGAGAGAGAGAGAGAGAGAGAGAGAGAGAGAGAGAGAGAGAGAGAGGGAGAATTTTCATTTTTGTATGTTTTTCATTGATTGATTAGTTACAATTGTTTGCCTTTTATACAATATTGATACTAACCTGCCCTAACAGGTTGTACCTAACTAAGTAACCTACACTAACATATTTTACTAGCAACTAAATAACCTGCAGCAGCAGTAGGTTCTAAACTATCTAAAGACATGTAGTTACAGATTATTAATACTACTCATAAACATGTTAGTTCTGAGATTACAGTTGTGAACCATAATATTCAAGTTATTGGTTGTGAAAATGTATTAGTATCTAATCTTGATACCTAACCCTAAAAAATGTCTTGAATGCATCGAAGTTAATAAAAAATATTATTTATGTGTGTAAATTTACAATTAATAATGATATTTCTGTTGAAATTTAATCACTTTGATTTTTTTGTGAATTTAATCATTTTAATTTTTCTATGAAAGATTTTTGTATCCACATTCTTTTAGTGAGATGTGATAGCTCGTATGACTTTTATCTAATTACCAGAAGACCAACCTCTACCAATTTTGCTATCCACCTATTTTGCTTTAGTCAAAGAATTATGACAACTACATAGAACATTCGGGAATTCCATAACACACGTTAAAAAACACACACTTTTACATTAAATATTTGAATGTAACACCCAAACAACGCGGCGATCCACACGCAAGACTAACTTCACGAAATTGTCCGCATTAGACTTGTTTCACAAACACTTAAATGACTCTTACAAAAAAAGGATCGATCCTTAGAGTCTCTTTGGTTCAAATAAATAAATAAGGAGGAGGGGAGGAATTTTAATGAAGGGGAGGGGAGGGGAGGGGAGGAAAGGTGAAGAATTTTTTAATCAGATAAGTGTTTGGTTCAAAAGAGAGGAGGGGAGAGGAAGGGAGGAATTTTAATTAAAAATGTGTTTGGTTCAGAAGGGGAGGGAAGGTGTTTTATTAATAATTTACAATTTTATCCTTATGATCTTATATAAGTCATATAATATTAAAATGTGAAAAATGCGTGCGTATTTTTGTTGGTAATAAAATTTCTAATATTGAGTGATTAAAAAAATATTTATTTGTCACATAAAGTTAAAAAATTGAGTATAATTGATTCGACTTATAACTTTCCAACATAAATTAAACTATATACCAAATAACATCGTTTAAATTGTGATGACTCATATAACAAAACAAATATATATCATAACTTATTATTAAATATTAATGGTTCAAAATATTTAATAAAATGAATAAGCAAAAATAAATAAAATGAATGGTTTACAATTTGATATAAAAGAAAATATGATAGAATACCTAACAAAATCAAAAGATAAAAAACGAACATAACCAAACATAATTTTTTTTATTAAAAAAAGACAATGATTATGATTTATATTAAGTATAGAAATTATAAAATAATTTGAAGGTGGAACACAATTATAATAAGTTGATAGAAACAATCGAGAAAAAACAGTAACACGAAAGAAAACGAATAGTTTTGAAATACTGAAATTAAACTAAGGATATTTTAGTAAATATAATAATTTTTAAATATCAAAACTTATATTCCCTCCCCTTCCTTCCAAATCCACCAATTCGGAAGGAACAAAAAAGTGTGTTTTGGAGGGATTTTGCTCTCCTCCCCTCCTAAGATTTAAACCAAATATATTTAATTAAAATTTTCTCCTCTTCTCCCCTCCATCTACCCCGAACCAAACACACTCTTAACGCACCTTCCGCTCATAAACAATAACAACAACAAAATTCATGTTTAGGTTTTAAAAAAAATCTTGTTTAGGTTAAAAAAAATCAAAATTTAAGAAATTTATCATATTTAGGGTCTCTTTGTTTTAACTTAAAAAATAATTTTAAAAAAAATAGATTTTGTAAAACTATTTTTTAAAATATTATAAATTTTTCTATATTCGTTTTTTTTAATTGTGAGATTAATTTTGACATCATACAACATAAATATATATTATTGAAGATGAAAACATAGTCGAAATCTATATTTCGAAAATAATTTTTATGAAAAGTTATTTGAAATAGTTTTAAAATTAAGTAATTTTTTAAAATTTTGATATCCAAATTTTTTTTCGATAAACGGTTGATATATTTAAAATCACATTTTAAAAATAACTATTTAAACCAAATTTAAATTTGAATTTTTATGAAAAGTATTTTATAAAAAAAACTATATAAAAATATAATACACTTAAAAATTATTTTTAGAAAAAACCAAAACAAACGGGTCATTAATATATCATTTTAAAAATATCTTTCAATTTAGTTTCTTTCGAACAATTTTTTTCATTGTTATGGAACTAATTTCATCATTAGAAATATTTTAGATAATACAATTAATTCTTCTATTAATTTTATTATATTAAATTAAATGAATTATTTTCTTAAAAAGACATGTGGTCGTTCTTTTCTTCTTTATACTCCAGGTCCTCAAATATAAATTTTCATTGCATATTCCACTTATAAAAAAAAATAGTGTAGTTAATGTGTCAATTTTACATTTAGATGTACCTAAAATACTAGGTGTATATGGATATAATCAATCTTGTATCTATTGCTGTTTAAATTTATTAACTTTACTAAATTAAAACTTAATTCTTTAAGTCCGTCCCTATATTCTGGACGGAGAGAGTATTAAAACTAAAGTTCTTTAAAAATGGATGGATTATATATATATATATATATATATATATATATATATATATATATATATATATATATATATATATATATATATATATATATATATATATATATATATATATATATATATATATATATATATATATATATATATATATAAACGTAAAACTTCTTTAAAATAAAAATACAACTAAATTAAATTCTTAATGGTAATTTGGGAGGCAGATCAGCACATTTATTCACTCATTTATGACTCACGGGGAGCTTTAACTATTTGACACTCGTGAGGGAAGCGGTGGAAAATGATACACTGAAAAAAAACTATCAACAAAACCCTTTATCCTCTAACAAAGACAGCAACAAAAAACTTGTAAATATTAACAAATATAACTATAGTTTATCATACATTTGCTCGACTGAGACAAAACACCTCCTTCAACAAAAGAAGCTGCACATTTCACGTATTATGGACATGAATACAGAAACATTTAGTTTATCATCACCACAAAGAATAAAAAATGGCATATATTGCAATCTATTAGCATCCTGCTGCTTTTAAGAATTTATCATAGGGGCTCGAAGGTGGAAGTCTCAAAGAATGTTGTTGCCTAGTGTCATGTGAAAGAAAGCGGACTTGATCTTGTGCTTGAAATTGCGCCTGAGTGACCAACTTCAAATCACCTTTTGAATATTCTAGTGCCTGCATAATGGCACAGTGCTCACAAACAATTATCATTTCAAGAGAACAAAACATTATGATGCATCAGTGGTAAATAATTATATTTCCAGACAACTAATTCTAATTTAAGCATATAGAGGTAAATGATCATATTCATTCCAAATACACGTTTACAGTCGCTGGTCATTCATAAACAGACTGGTAGATAAAATTCAATGAAATCCAGAGGCAATGTGATAGGACCTCACATGAGAAGGTGAATTCGCAGACAGTTAGCACATAAGTTGTCTAGACCCATATGGAGAATTTATGTCGACAAATAGAGACAGACAAAATGGAAATATCCATGTGACTTAGGGTGAGTGGAGAGAAGCGGGAAACGAATTGTGTAAGGAAATTCTGTTATAATGAGTGTGGATAGAGAGACAGGGGTAGGGAGTAGAATCATATGGTTTCTTAGAGGCATAGAGCATTGGTTTTCTGTAGGAGCTTAGCTTTATGGAGAATAAGATCTTATTCTATTGCATTTCCTTTTACTTTCAGAAATACTTCTATTTCTCTTATATTTTGCTGTTAATTCCATCTTTTCTGCACTTTGTGATGCAGGGTTCACATCAATATGAGACAAATTTTAGAACTGGCTGTGAATCATGATACTGCAGAACATAGGATACTCATAACAACGGTTCAAAAGCGGGAGTATATGATACATGAGAGGATGTTGCCTTCAAATTCAGAGTTTTGTTTTATTATTTCAATAATTTAATTCTGGTCAATAACTAGTTTGACCTAACATAGCAATTCATCATAGTCAATGATACTTTAAACACGCAAACCATTATAACCAATTGAATTCCAAATAGATCCTGAAGATAAATTCTAATATGACATACACTTCTCTTATATTGAAAAACTAAAATATTGCAAGAAAATGCTAACCGTAACAGGTTGACAAGAAACTTCTACTTCATTTTCACTTGAAAGAACTATGGCTTTGGTCTCCTGCTGATGCTTAAAACTCTGAATGGCTGACATCTTCTCTTGTTTCCCTGTTACAAGAGCCTCACACTGGTTTTTCATTTGGTCATAAGGTAACGGAGTTGAGGAAGTGGATATGCTTGCAACTTGCCGAGCAGTTTCAAAAACCTATCCATATGATAATCCCCATATATTAAAAAGAGAAGACATTCTCCAGCAGAAGCATAAACTTCTATTCAAAAAGCCAATCAGCTATATTTAGATTAAAAAGAAAGTATATCATATTTACCGATTCCAAGAGTTGATTAACACCTAGAACATCAGGGAAGTGGGTTGAAAGTGATGTTCTGCGATCTGATTGGCTTCCACTTAGCTCAGGCCCAGTCTCTTCATCCATTGAATCCTCTGGAGCCATTATCTAGAAAACAAATCACAGTATTTGTCACAAGTTTTCAAGATAAACTAAATGGAGATGTAATTTTTGATAATTTTACCTCATCAAAATCGAGGAACTCAATCTGAGCAAGTGGAGAACCTGGTCTTGGTGTCTCCATAAACAATGGAGGTCCCGAAGGATAAGCATCATCAGGGGAAAAACCAAGTAGAAGTTGATTTTTTATGCTGGATAACTCATCCTGGAAAATATCGAAAAAGCCATGTTATTTCCACATATGCACAACAGATTCCTCTCCAAGCCACTACTCCACTGCAAGTATTATTTTACATAAGAAATGTTAATTTTTAGCTAGTTTCCAGAACAAGTATGTTTGCACATGCGACACTGAAACATATACACAGAACAAATGCATAATTAAATATTTGAACCAAAGGCAACTATTTAACTTCTTATATTCAACTAATATTAAACACTTATTAGACAATCATTTGTTTGTTAGAAACTTCCACATCCTTGCTACTGAGTCACTAGTCACTGGTAAATTATCATTGGATTTGAGCAAACAAAGGTACACTGCTTCCTTGTTGTTGCTATCCTCCTACATTTACTCTCTCTTTCTTGCTGCTACTATCACTACCCTTTTACTCACTTAAGCATACTCCTAACAGTTTTCTTTACTTCTTTTTTATATTGCAAGTGGAGGAGTTTTATGTGGGTTTATAATAGAAATAATAACAAAGCCACATTTCTGTAGAAAATCATCTCTTTTTCACACTCTTTAGAAAATCATCTTATCCGCCCAATCAAATTTAAATTACCTCCGGCAATTTTGAAAATTTAGTCATGAAGTATGATATTACAGTCTCTTTTAACTGTCTGTCATCCAATTGTACAGTTGATAGTGATTTCATAGCAGCAACTTCATCTTCCTCGGATCCATAATTTATCTTGTCTGATTTTATACAAACAGCCCGTAGCAGAGTATCATCCACCAGTTCAAGAAACGGATCTACCTGTGGGTTCATGATTTTAATTAGTTATAAGCATAATTAAAACAGGAAAACAATAATGCCTCTCAACTTTAAACCAGAGCTAAAAGACAGGGATGTGGAATGGGGGATCAAATCAAGAGGTTAAGAGTAGAAGCTCACTGGTGCCTCTGTGAGGGATGCTTTGACTTTTGGAATCAGATCGGGGAAATTGCCTGCCCTGACAGAGAATATAAGCATGTGGGAAGCCAAGGTTAAAAGGGACCTCCTGCGAGATGGTGGTAAGCCTCCTTTAACAGCCATGTAAAGAAACATGTCAGAAACTATTTGGCGTAAAAATATAGTCCTCTGTTAAGTTTTAGCTATTGGACATTTCAAAAATTGTAATTCCATGTTTGCCACTACTTAATGAAGAACATTCCTTTGTTTGGTATGCACAAAGTCAGGAAATGATGATTCCATAGAGATAAGAACTCTATGTCATTCCGTACTATGAAGTAAAAAATCACATGTACCTTCTTGGTCCAAAGATATGCTTCTGAGGGAAAATGCCAGTTGGAAGCATCTTACCAAAGCCATGTAACTGGATGCCTGTAGAAAGCAATAATCATCATCATGAGCTTAGACAAATTAATCATGTAATACCACTTGGTTCTAAATGCTATCCAGATTAATTTTTGGGAGAAAAATGTGATATACATTAGTGTTTCTTAGTTTTCAAAAAGATGAAAACTCATGTCTGAATGTTCACTGCTGCCACTAAATGATGGTAACGATATCAAGCCAAGTAGAAATACTTTTTTATAAGTTGCTCTTATAATTTATTGCGCTTTCATAACCCATGATAGTAAAAGCTACTCAGAAAATTCTATACTGATCGTTGATAATATAGATGATTATAATTGAGCAACAATTAGACAAAATGAGTTTCATACTTTACTGATTATAAATCTTTCAAAGCAATCATGGCGCTTGGTATTAACCAGCCTCACCTTAGAACAAGTAAATAATAAAGCAATGCTATAAGTGTGCGCCATTGCCTCATAATTTGCAGGGCCATTTTCAGCAGATAATGCCTGAACCCAGATTGAAGAAAGCAAGAGACTCACTTGGTGACCACTCAACCTAAGAGATCTTAGATCCTGAAATTTTCAGAGACAACATTTGGTTAGGAGCTTCTATAGCAAAGATGAATGATTCAAGCTAACAGATTACTGAACGCCCATCAACATGATTGAGTTCAATAAGAACCAGTAAGATAAACTGTGACAAATAGGAACAAAATACCCTCGACCCATCCGACGAATAAAAACACAGTTAAATGCAAACTGTAAATGATGATACAAAATTCTCATATCTTTTCCATCAGTTAGAGCATGAGTAAAAAAATTCCTCCCGCTCACACCTGCTATTACCTTTTCTTCTACCAGCTTCCCATTCAAGTGCTCTGCTCCAGAATAACTTTCATGCCGAATGGAGAGGCTGTCACTCTCTACCTTCTTAGCAATGTTTTTTTGGTCTAACCAAGTAGTAAACACGGATGGCATAAGCACTGTAGAGAAGATACTGTGAGCTCCAATTTGTGTTTCACGGTCGGGATGAGCCATGGTCAGGAGCAATTGATGAAACAATGCATCAGGGAAAGCCTGGAAAAGTCCAAAAGTTACCCAAAAAATTAGACAATGAAATACAGTCACGCAAAAACTTCATCCTCAGTTTAAGCAAGATTTCTTGCCTTCATGTGATATGACACATTCGGGACGGAGGTGATTAATTTTGCAGTTTGATGGACAGCAGAGATTGTTGTTCTTGCTATGATAGTAGAACTGGAAATATTCTCTAGCACCACAGCCATCAAATCAAGAATGGGTCCTGCATCTCCAACCTGATACAGTAAAAGCGGTATGACAAGACTGACCCAACGTACCCAATCCTTATACTTCTATAGGAACTTAGTTGTTTATAAAATCAAGTCAATTTTGATTCAAAAAAGAGAGAACAGTATATAAATTTAGTTACTCTTCTATAAAAGTCAGAATTAAGAGATGACATTTCAACATTCTTTTTGAGATGGACAACCAAAGAAACACAAGTCCCTAAACAAAACCTCTTCGGTAGAGAAAACAGATAACAAATTGAATCTATAGACATATAGAAATGAAGAAACTTTTCTCAGAGAATACCCATAAAGATGGCAAGTGTCTTATAATATAAGAGTTTGAAAGAAATAAAAAAATTGATACATAATGTAAGCATATATATTATTATATATACCTTGTTTGAAAGTTGTAATATGCACATTTCAATGGCAGATTGAAATTTAGTATTAAACTTATATGCATCATTTTCAATGTCTGATGCTTCAGCTGAATTTTGTAGGCATTTCCTTAAATGTTTAATGAGATCAGATATTGCACCAATAATTGCAACTGAGGCTTGCTGCTTAACATTTTGTGCAACCTGTGTGGTGGTGGTAATAATATCAATCTGAAGGATAGGTTGCTTGGCAACATTCTTATGATCCAAATGCTTGACCAAAATGGACAACAGAAGATGGGAGTTATTTCCTGGTGTTCAAAAGTGATGATCAGTTATTGAGAAAATTTGGGAGAATTTTATATCTATAAAAAATAATAACACGGGTTGCAACAAGAATACCTGATTCAGCTAAAAGGGATTGCAAATACATCAAAACACAATAAGCAACCCCCTTTTCTGAAGACCAGTGGTTCTCTGTATCAAAATGATGAAAAAGTGGTTCCAGGACACGCCGCACGGTAGTAGCTTCCTTTGCCAATTTGGCTATATTGTACAAGCAAACCATTGACCAATAAGCAGGATTCTTAGCAGTATCCCTGTGAAAGTAGTGAACACAGGCTGTTGGGATCATGGAGGTTGAATTCTTACATAATAAAGGGAGTGGAGAGAAGAATAAGAGAAGACATACAACTTGGACTCTGTCTCAAATCCTGCTGTGACACTCAACATGGGAGATATACAGTCTTCTTCTTTAAGAGATCCTTGAACCATCTGGTTCTGAGATTGTGAATTCAGTTTCTCTACCCTGGCAAGGTTGAATTTAGATTGGAGATCCAAACAATTCTCCAAAACTGCTGATATAATCTATTCCAAAACCCACCCAACAAATAAGAAAAAGAACACAAAAATTAGATTGACAAGAAAATTTTTAGCTTCAAGTGTAAACTAACATCAAAATTCAAGGCCCAAACTGAGATTCAAAATTTGGAATAAATACATAGAAACAAGCTTTAAGGTTTGATGCAACCCTTTACTTGGTGTCACTGCCGGTATCAGCCAACAGACTGAAGGAATAAAAATAGGAATACATTACTCACTTTGTCGAAATCCATGGAAAGATGTGATTGCTCACCCATGAACTTTACCTGGTCAAAATAAAAGGAAACAAATAAAAGGCATCAAGGGAAGATACAAGCAATCTCAAAAGGCAACTGTTATAAAGAACTGTGCTAGTAACTAGGGAACTGCTAACAAGTTAAAATGATTTAGTTGTATCACTATCAGTGTGAAACTTATGAATTAATAATAAAAAATAACTAACACTGCTAATGATGATCTTTCTCGTTCACTTATTTTATATTTTGTGCAGATGGAACCTTTTTATAAAAATAATCAAGATGTGTTTATTCCTGTTTGTTTTGATAAATAGAGAAAGAGAAATCCTTACACTTATAAACTATGAAAATGCAGCAGCAAGTTCATTAAGAAAGAAGTAACAAATTAACAAGGAAAGGAGAATTACCATAGAAGATAGAGCTTGTAGTCCTGCTGATCGTAGAAGCAGAGCTCGGTCATCATCTCCCGCTTCTTGAGCCAATTGACACAGTTTCGGGATAAAGCCTTCTAAGTTGAACATGTATGTACCATCTGTCTATTTTTTAAATTGTGACAGGATTAGAAACTATAAAGATCTATAAATTGCAATATATCAAGTAGCAGGACCTATAATGTAGACTATAACGTTAAACTGAAATCACTAAATCTACCATCAATATGGTGCTAACCATTCATAAACAGTGCTATAAGTTTTTAAACTCAAATCAGAAAGACTGAATGACCACCTACCTGGAAATTTATAAAATCTACAAGAGTATTGCAACCTAAGATCCGTACTTCATCTACTCGAGTTTGCTCAAGAAGAGTCCGAATGATCCCTAATAAACTGGTGGCAAATAGTGGTCTGCAGATTAAGAAGCATTTATTTTGAACATTATTACTCAGTCAATGTAACGTAGCATCAAACAACTGGAAATCAAATTAACAAAAACTGTATTTTATAACACTCAAGTCACTGCGTATAGGAGAACCATTATATTAAAAAAAATAAAAAATAAAAACAAGCATATAGCAGAGCTAATTGATAATGCTTGACCCGGGATTGGATTAAAAAACATTATATTGGAAATAAGTTTTATACTCCATACAAAATCGTGTTACACAAAGGGTTTCTCGTAGTACTATAGTAAGATTACTCGTCCAGAGTAAATCTATCATATCATTATTTAGACATAGTCCGATACACCCAACATGAATGTCTTAGACTTCTTCTAATGGCAGTAATGAGAAGTTACTATGGCAGTTATATTGTTTAATTTTAAGAAAAAATAGGGAAAGGATAGGAGAGACTGATTGTGGAATAGTTATTGAGTGGCTTTGGGCAGGAGAGACCAAGCTCACAGATTCTTGGAAGGGATAGACCAAGACTCTCAAATTTATATATATCTACCAGTTTCTATCAGAACGCAGGAGGTCCTGGACACAAAAACTCGTAAATGCTCATAAATTTCAAAAAAGCTTCAGCAATGCAATACTCTTATGATTACGACACTTGAATCTTAATATTTGTAAGATAAATTTTGCCCTCAGGAACATATCTGCACTTAACTTATAAGGCAAAAAACTTACATCTGCTCCTTACATGACGACAGCAATTTTCTGTATATGCACAAGATAACTTTCACTGAACCAAAGCTTTCATTACGCAAATCCTTGAAACATCTTTGCTCCAAGTTCTCTGCAATCTACCGATGTAAAACACCACATAAACTCAGCACATGTAAGAGATTGAATTCAATACTAAAAGTGAAAAGAAAAAGAAAAAACAGAGTTAAATTGATCCAATAGTGTTTGTTTAAATTTAATACATGCCAAAACTGAAATTAGGTGAATAAAATACCGAAAACATTCAGCAAATGAGAATTAACAAAATCAACTCAGTCCTTTAACAAATATATTCAGCAATTGAATGAATGTAAAAAAGTATAGTGCTTCAAATTGTCACTAAAAATCTCAATGCTTAATATTTCAGTTCTATAAAGCATGTGATTAGACGGAACTTGGAAACAAACTGGATTTTCTACAATGATATATTAATTAAAGCACCTAGTAGTTTCATTTGAGAATGACTATCAATACTTCCTCCAGCATGTCATAATTTTATTAGTTAAGTGAATCAACTAGTCTACAAGTGACAAGAAACAAAGAGTAGACTTGTGAGAACAGTATTACCTTGGGAATTCTCAATGGATTCCTAGAAGCATACTCGCATAGCTTTCCGATTTTTCTATCATTGATCTCAGCAACCTGCAAAACACCATATTCATCTGGTGAATCAAAATAGTTGTTTGCTTATCCTTTGGTTCAGATAGGGGAGGGGAGACGAGAAAGGGGCTGACAGAAGCCTCTGAGATTCTAAATCATAGTTAAATCCAGTCAATCTTTACTAGTATAACTTAGATCATAAAGCAGCCCCTAGTGCCTTGTAATTCTATTAAGAAAACTTAATATCTTATTATTCATAGCACAAATCAATAGAAATAAACCACAAAATGGCATTACGTCAATAAAATACTAAACCAATATAGCATCCTCAAATTCTCCAATGCATAACTTTAAATAATTTCAAAGTCAACCTATAATTTTTAGCTCCCTGAGATTAAGAAACTCCCAACACAAACAACATCATAACGTAATGAGCTGAAAATTTCACCTGATTCCGCGGTAAGATTTCAGAAATCAACTTCTTGTAACGTTTCACCGGCTGTCTTGATCTTGCTCGCAAAGAAGGACAAAAAACACAGAGGCTACCACAGGCGGGAATAACCCGCCTGGACATAACCCCCATTTGCTTACAAATTCACAGACCCTCCCCTGCAACAACAAATTCACTTCCCACAATTAACATCAATCACAGTAACACCAACGCAATCAAGTAAAGTTCAGCTCAACGAACAACACAGGGTTTAATGAATTTCACCAACAAAAAAAACTACAGTCTCAAAATTTCAAAACGAAACAAGAAATACAAACTACATCGATTAATCAACTAATCAATAATTGAAACCTACCAATTGGAAATTGAAATATTGAAATTGCACCTCTTCGCATAAACAAGAGTCTTCGATCGCGATCTAAACTATACTCGAAAGCAAAATTGAAGGGGAAAATAAAAATTATGCAAGATAAAGAGAAAAAATGTCGCAAATATGGTAATAAGTAATAACTGAAGAAGAAATTGAAAGCGAGAAATGATGAAACCGTGGGTGATAGAAAATGGAAAAAGAATACCGTGGAAAAATGACGATGGGGTCAGAGGGCGCAACTCTCCCCCGGCCATCGACATTAATGTGAATATGTTGAAAAAGGTAAGTTTTTGTTTTGATGAAGGAATTACGTATCATAATATTAACTGTCATTTTGTCAAATACTATAAATTGATCATTATATCATTTCATTATTACGTATACATAATTTAAACAATCTAAAATGTAATTTAAGCTAGATTAGCACGAAAATTAAACTTTCGATATTGGAAATGTCAAACTATATATACTCATATTATTTAAAAATTAATATAATACAGGCAGTAACGTTTTTCTCTCTTGTATTTTTATTTATTTTTTAATTATGACTATATAGAGACAAATTTTAGTTGTTTAGCAATGGCTAATATTTGTAGGAGAATCTATAAAGTAGGTTCTTGTCGCGTAGCCAGCTTTTATTCATTAGAAGAGAGTGGTCCAACTTCTACTTACTTATTTAAGAAATCAAAATCTCTTATTTTCATTATACTCTAAATTAGGGGTGGACAACGGGCCGGGTTGGGCGGTTTCGGACCCAAAAGTCACACCCAGCTCAACCCGCGGTTTAGATACGTAGGCCCATTTCTGCCCATTTCCGCAATCGGTTTGGACGGGTTGGGTAAGCACGAGTTGCGGGTTAATACACACGGTTTAATCGGGTTATTGGGTTGGTTTTTATAGAGTCCAATAACACATTTTGACCTACAATTTAATTCCAACTAAAATATAAATTACTAAATACTAAATTCCAACATAAATCCAATAAACTAAACATAATTCCAACACTAATACAAAATATAATCCAACATAACATGATTACAACAAATTACTAAAACTTGAATAATAATAACAGTGTTACAATTCTAGCATTAATATAAAATAAATTCAGTATAACATAGTCCAGCTTGAGATTGCAAAGGTGAATATTGGAGATGCCTGCAATAATATTCATAAAAGAAAGTAGATTATTCAATGGAGAGATTATTCAATTGAAAGTTTAAAGAATAAAAAGTTTGAAGAGAATACCGATTATGATAGAAACATACAGTTTTGTTACTTCGGTAAAAACTTAACGAGCCTTTGAACTCCATGCTGACATTTCTGCTAACTACATGAGATGAGTGATAGGAAGGGTTCTGAATTTCAGCAGTAATACGGTTTCTGTCCCAACCCAACCCAATTCGGTTTCTGTCCTTGTGTGGAAAGAAATCAAGGAATTCATCACACAATTCGATTTCTGTCTGTTTGTTGCAAAGCTTGTTCCGTTGTAAACCACTCACAGTGGCATCCTGCAATACATACGCACAAAATATACAACACCATTAGCACCACAGCAAGAGGACGAGACGTAAACTCAGGAGTATAACAGTATCACAACAACACACAAACACGCAAGACATACGGGAAACACAACAAAACCATACCTTCAGGTGACTCATTAGTTCAGTCTTGTTTCCTTGTTTTAAATTCAGTAGCGTAATGATCAATCTGACAGCAACTCCTTATAGTGCGAGCAGACACTCTGGTCCTGGATTTAATGAAAAATAAATATTAAACACGAGAAACTAGCCAAACTAACTTGTAGACTCATATGACAAGTCATACTAAAGGAATTAAATCAGAAACTAACAACATCTAGGTTACATAGCCGTGTCAATTCTATTTTAAATAGTGTATAGAAGCAAAAATAACAGCGGAACTTACAGGTCTCAAAGGCAAACCCATGTCACTGAGGTTGCAAGGAGGCAATCGCGCAGTCCTATTCTTTGGATGGTGAAATTTACAATTAGACTTGAACTTGCAATCCCCAGTTTTTAAGAAGTTGCATTCAGGCTCACCAGGCCTTTCTGGAAACACTTCAAATGGCATATGCTTTTGATGAGGCACATACACATTTGTTTCAACTGTTGGGTTGTTCATGACATATGTAGAAGATGGATGCATGATCCTCTCAGATAAGTAGACAGGCGCCTTTACAATTAAAACCATAAACAGATCAATTTGATGGGAAACAACTTGTGAGAGTTTAGCTGGTAAAAATTTTTAACTCGCAGAACATCGATAAAAATAAATAAATAAATAAATAAAGACTATTGTAAATCCCTTGCCATAGGGCTTTTGATATTGAATCTATGTATTTACCTGATATCCATTCCAATCAGGACTTTGAGGAGCAAGTCCTTGAGTAGGCGTAATCATCGGTGCTTTACATATGTATTGGCATTTCTATTATCATTGCCATTACATATATTGCAACGGAACATATATTGGCAATGATAACATATATAAGTGGCAATGATATATAATTAACATATATTTTTATTATCATTTCTTTTATCATTGCCACTCACAGTGCAATATATATAATTAACATATATTATCATACGGAACATATATATCATTGCCACTCACAGTGCTTTTATCATTGCCATTATATATATTATCAGTGGCATATCTATTATCATTGCCATTACATATATTATCATTGCTAGGAAAGTATGATAAAGCTTAACAGAAGTATGAAAAGATATTATCATTGAAGTATGAACAGAAGTATAAAGCTTAACAGAAGATATTATCATTGCTAGAAACGATATTATCATTGAAGCTTAACAGAAATATAAAGCTTAACAGAAGTATGCTAAGTATGATAAAGCTACTTAGGAAAGTATGAAAGTAGGAAAGTATATTATCATTGAAAAGATATTTACATATATTATCATTGCTAAGTAGGAAAGTATGATAAAGCTTAACAGAAGTATGATAAAGCTTATCATTGCCATTAGTAAGTTCTGCTGCCATTAGTAAGTTCCGCTGCCATTACAAAAATGCATTCACCGTCTTCCCAGAAGTGCAAAGGACTTTGATTTGTTCTCCATTAATCTCCAAGACTTCGCCATCTATCCAAGCTACATCAGAATCCTCCAACCAAACATGGGCCCCAACTATAAGAAAGTGCATATCTACATTATGAAGTTATGATCAGTAATGTCAATCTAACATGATCAGATTTCAAAACCAGTCTAATAGATTTGAATAACCAATTGAAAATAGAAGATTCATAAGACAGATAAAATTATTCACAAAATTCAAAGTGAAATACCTGCATATCAATATAAACTATTGTTAAAATGAAAATCACTACAAGAAGTAAATACCATATTGAAAACAGAACATTCAAAAGCAACATACAAGACTTGAAATTGACTAAACAACTACTAGATTTGGATTTGTAAGTACTAAAATTAGGGAATACCCTTCACAATAAGTAGCCAAAACTGCTAAACATAGTTGAAAATGAATGTGCAGAATTTATTATGACATACATGACATGAAAATTTCACATTCATTTAGAGTCTTCATTATAACATGATGCAGATAAACTTCAAAGAATTATTGTTATTCCCATAAATGCATCATTGTTCAAAACAAAGTAGAGATTCAGAGTCTAAATCAGCTCACAAAGGCTTAGATTATTCAAACCAAAACACATTTTTAAAAAATCAAAATATTTAAACCAATCAAGCACAAGAGAGTTCTTATAGCATCAAAGCACAAACCTCAATTTAAACTCAACTCAATCCTTCTCAACCTTCACTCTCATCAAAGAAAACAGATGCTGTGAACGGGAGGCGTCAAGGATGATTGGGTAAAAGCTGCTCCCTGCCAAACTGAAACTAATGTAGAATAAGCAACTATATACTTCGACACGTGAGTCAGAATAAGCAATAGTATGATCAGCTCCACAAACAACAGAAACAATTTGTTGAGCATCCAATGCACTAAGTTGTTGAGCATCCAAGGCAAAAGTCTATCAACAAAAAAACTGAGAGCATCATATTAGTAAGAGAGAATCAGATACATTCACAATATTATCATTGAAGCTTAACAGAAGTATAAAGCTTAACAGAAGTATGCTAAGTATGATAAAGCTACTTAGGAAAGTATGAAAGTAGGAAAGTATATCATTGAAAAGATATTTACATATATTATCATTGCTAAGTAGGAAAGTATGATAAAGCTTAACAGAAGTATGATAAAGCTTATCATTGCCATACTGTTTTACTTAAATATTCTTTTCACTTAAATAAGCTACTGTTTTAACTTAAAGCTTATCATTGCTTATCATTGCTAAGAAGTATGAAAAGAAGTATGAAAAGATATTCTTTTAACAGAAGTATGAAAAGTTGTTCTTTTAACTTAAAGTTTATCATTGCTAAGAAGTATGAAAATATATTCTTTTCACTTAAATAAGCTACTGTTTTAATAAGCTAATTAAAAGTGGACAAAATATAAATATGTTCAACTCAGTTCCAATTCCTTCTTAATCTGTTTTCACTTAAATAAGCTACTGTTTTAAGAGGTATGAAAAGATACCTGGCCTTCCCAAGTGAAACTACAAGTTGGAGCAGATCCTACAAGTTGGCAAAAAGAAGCTTCTTGCTTGCAAACTGAACAATTCCAGCAGATCCTACAAGTTGGAGAATATGTGAGTAAAGTCATACGATAGTGTATTAATGCACATTGCGAAAAAGGAAATAAC